CGTTCATCACATTCTTACTATGTCGAAATTTAATCCACCTACAGGGTTTAGCATAACAATCCTTCATGAACTCAATCCAGGGACATCATCAAACTAAAAACACATGGTGACCGTAAATATCCTAACAACACATCGTACATGTAGCAATATTTCCCAAGACATAGAGTCTATTGGTTCAGTTCACTAAACCTCACACATGCGAATCAAAGTAATAAGTAATACACATATATGCCTGTTTGGTTAAGAGTACGCAGTAATTAACCGAGGCCTAGTTCGTTTACGACGATCAGTATACAATGAACTGCTCCTCTCTGGGATCATGTTCAATACATAAATATACTAGTGCAACTAATCAGCCAAGACAAACTGTACCGTTGACACTACAACCGTTCTGAGGGTGTTCATGTCAATCTAGGTTGTGAACCATTAATTCTTGTTTCGCGAGTAACTGATAGAGTGATCTTCGGTTCGCCCGATGACAACCCATCTTATCTAATACAAAACAACAGAACGTAGAACTTGTTTAATCTAACATGTTTCTCATTCATGAAGGGTAAAAGTGCAATATCATCCAAAGGCAAGCTTTCAGTATATAACACTAACACTATATCTATATCTATATAAAGAGAGAACTTATTTACCAAAAATAGTAACAAAAAAGTCAACCATCATTTATTGCATTCTATTTTTTGAAGTTTTTGAATTTTCTTTTTAAATTATTCCGAAAACACACGACCAGCTATATATACATCCTAAATTCAGGGGTTTTGTATATTTAGTTTAGGTAAATATCGACTGATGCTTACAATTTTGTAAAGGTCAAAATTCTCTCATTTTTTTATTGAGAAAATTGATTACCATAAAATCAAGAATTTCGAATTAGGCAAAATACTATCAGAGATATATTTTTCTAATTTCAACAAATCAATTGTTTAGTATTAAAAATTTGATTACATAGAAATTGAATTAATTTAGGTAAAATTCAGGATGACAATTTTCTAAAAGTCAAAATTCTTTCTCCTTTTTTATTAAAAGAAATTGATTACAATAAAATTGAGAATTCGAATTAGGAAAAATACTATCACATATATATTTTCCTAATTGCAACAAATCAATTGTTTATTATAAAAAATTGGATTGCATAGAAATCAGATTAATTTAGGTAAAATTCGGCATGGCAATTTTGTAAAAGTCAAAATCTCTCATTTTTTATTAAGAAAAAAATTGTTTACCATAAATCGGGAATTTTGAATTAGGCAAAATACTATAACATATATTTTACCTAATTGCAACATATCATATTTACTTAAATAGAATCGGATTGCATAGAAATAAGGCACAATTACAAATTGAAAATTAAAATTTAATTTTTTTTTTTTTTTTTTTTTTTTTACTACTTTAATAGTGAAATAGACTTCACCCGGGCTCCGTCAACTCGAACGGCCTCCGTACCTGCAGAACCCAGCGCCGGGAGGGGTCCCGTCGTCGGGCCTCCGATGCCTAATTCAGTACTGGATCCAATGAGAGAGAGATAGTGTAGTAATGAATGAATAGAGAGAGAGAATGAGATACTTTGACCCCCTTTTATAGGGGGAGTGTACCTTTTGAGCCCAAATTGGGCTTGACCCATATAATAAAGCTATATAACTTAGCCCATTTTTTGGCTTATTCTTTAATATATTTCTTCTTCTCTATTAAAGACGGTCTAGTATAATATCCTATATCATCTAGTCCCCCCTACTCTGGTCGAGTAAGCATAACTCGATCCAAGAGTAAAATGTCTCTTCGGGCTGTTTCCTTTAACCTGGCACTAAGATTACACTTTGAACAAATCCTCGACCACCAAATAGTCACCAAACCTCCAAATGACCATTGAGACCCAAATGAACACGGAATAACCTTTAATGTTAAAAACCGAGTGACCGCCGGTGAGGTCGAAAACTGAAAACCAAAAACCGAATGACCACTGAGTTCTAAAACTGAAAACCGAGATAACACCGAGGTAAAAAACTAAAATCTAAAATCTAGAGACCACTGAGGTCGAAAATCGAAAACCGAGAGACCGCTGAGGTCGAAGACCAAGTAACCGCCGATGAAATTGAAAGCCGAGAATCAAGAGACCACTAAGGTCGAAAACTGGGAATCGAGAGACCGATGAGGTCGAAAACCGAAAATCGAGAGGCCACTGAGGTCGGAAGCTGAAAACCAAGAGACCACTGAGGTCAAAAACCAAGTAACCACCGATGAAGTCAAAAGCCGAGAATCAAGAGACCACTGAGGTCGAAACCGGAATCGAGAGACCGCTGAGGTTGAAAACCGAGAATCGAGAGACCGCTGAGGTGAAAAAATGAAAACCGAGAGACCACTAAGGTCGAAAACCAAAAATCGAGAGACAACTGAGGTCGAAAATCAAGAAAATCAAGAACTGAATGACCACTCCTCGAAGTCTAGAATTTAAAAATTTGAACTTACGTCTATTGTGTTTCGATCACCATGTTCGAGCTCTCTTAGACCACCTCCTCCTATCGCCCCCCAATTCAAAATTTAAATTCCACCATGCTATTTATCCTCTCGAAAACCAAATGTCCTGACACCACCATCATTTCCAAAGACCGGAGTTGAAAAAATAACCTGACTCTATGAACTGCCTCAAGTGAACTCCCTCAACCTGCCACTGAGGTCGAAAAATAAATTCAAAAAAACCAAAATCAAATAAAGGTTATTGAAATGTCACCGACACCTGCAAATAAACTCACTGAGTTGCTCGAAATGAATTCCCTCGACCAGCCATTGTGGTCGAAAACACAAATATAACAAAACCAAACCAAATAAAACCATTAATCTGTCACTACTCGACTTCTCCGTAATGAATTTCAACGACTTTCCACTGCGATCAAGAACACATATACAACAAAACCAAACCAAATAAAACAATCAACCTGCTCGAGCTATCCATAAAGAGCTTGATCGACTTGCCATTGAGATCAAGAACCCATATACAACAAAACCAAACAAAATAAAATCATCAACCTGCTCGAGATATCCATAATGAGCTTGGTCGACCTGCCACTGAGATCAAGAACACACATATAGAACAAAACCAAATAAAACCATAAACCTGCTCGAGTTATTCATAGTAAGCTATATCGACCTGTCGCTAGGATCAAAAGCACAAATATATCAGAACCAAACCAAATAAAACCATAAATCTGCTCGAGCTATCCATAATAAAATTCACCGACCTATTGCTCGAGCTACCCGTAAAGAGCTTGATCGACCTGCCACTGAGATCAAGAACACACATATACAACAAAACCATACCAAACATAATAAAACCGTAAACCTGCTCGAGACAGAGTCAGAAAATATTAATTTGAAATTCAAAATGAAATCGGATTGGAACATCCTAAAATTTGAGTTTTGTTTAAATCTTCTAGAATATAAATCTAGAAATTTGAAACTGATTGCATACACTTACATAATTTTTTCCTTACTTACATAAAGTGATTTACAATTTTACAATAATACGACTATAGATTATCAAAAAAGACGTTTACATTCTCCGTTATATTTCACTATACAATCTTCATAAAAACACTATAAATCATACCATATATATCATGCTAAATAATTTAATTAATTTTATATAAGCATCTAGAATCCTAATATAATATGTGGCTAGACGATGTATGAAAAGACCAAACAAATAATGTTGTCTACAAGGATGTATTTAATAATACATAAGTTACATTTTGTTTTATTGCAATACATGCGTTTTACGTTCATCCAATCATCCAAATCTAAATGCTTACCTTTATAAATTTGACCGTGTATCACACGAATACCACACTAATCTATATATATATTGTATAAAATTTTATTTGCATTTTTGCACGTGACAGGTAGAATACTAGTTCTAAATTTCTAATAAAGGTACCCATAAAAAAATGTGTAAGAATTCAAATTGAATGCAATGTCCAAATAGTTGACGCAAGCGCTTCCATAATAATGTTCAACTCATTGAAGTGAAAGATTAAAAAAAAAAGAAAATCTATAATTATCCAATTCTTTCAAGAAGACTATACTTCAACCACAAAACTTTAAATGCAATTCAAATTCTCAGTTTCATACACACACACAGGTAATAACTAATAATAAGTGAAATGGTAAAGGTAGTGTGTGTGACAGGAGCTTCCGGCTTCATAGCTTCATGGCTGGTTAAGCTCTTGCTTCAGCGTGGTTACACCGTCAAAGCCACCGTCAGAAACCTCCGTCAGTACTCTCTCTCTCTCTCTCTCTCTCTCTCTCTCTCTCTCTCTCTCTCTCTCTCTCTCTCTCTCT